TTTTTTTTTCTTTCATTCTCTCTCTCCCTTTTTTTTTTTTTAACTGTAAGTTTATTCAATGCAAAATAATCCTCTCCAATTTTACTGAGGTGGCTGACCACGTCCCTGACCAAATCCGCCTGTCAACTGGAATTCGGTTGCTGACCCAGCCCCCGCCTCAGCTTTCTTGTCGGCACCAGGTGGCACAGCACTCCGTCTGTAGGTATCTCTGTCAGCTTCCCCTCTGGTGAGTCTTGCAGGCCTTCCTGTCTCTGGACGGCTGCGGCGTAGGGTGGCAGGCACGATCTCTGCGGGCAGATGGAGGTAATCACGGAGATACTGGATACCCTCATTGGTAAGGCACCAGTAGAAATGTCTCCAGGCAAACTGTTCCTTCACGTAGCCTCAGGACTTGAGAGACTGCATGGCCTTCATGACAGGAAGGTTGGGCACGTTCTTGTCTGCCAGCTCTGGGTGCTTAGGCATGTGGACATCCTTCTTGGCCACCATGACTCCCTCCTTAAAAAGGAGCTCATAAATGGCAGTCCGGTTCTTTAGCAGCAACATCGCCGCAGCTGTAGGGACCGGGGCCGGGGCTGGAAAGGACTCTTTCATTCTCTTAATGTGGTGTATGTCATTTATGGGTTTGTGTTTGTCAAATCATACTTAAATTCCTGGGATAAACCCTACTTAATCAAGGTGAATGATCTTTTTAATGTTCTATTAAATTCAGTTTGCTAATAAAAAGATTTTTGCATCTATGTTCATCAGGGATATTGGCTGATAATTTTTTTTTCTTGTAGGGCTCTTGTCTAGGTTTGGTATTGGAGTAATGCTGGCCTCATAAAATGAATTTGGAAGTCTTCCCTCCTATTCAACATTTTTGGAGGAGTTTGAGAAAGATTGATATTAGTTCTTTTATACATATTTGGTACAATTTATTAGTAAAGCCATCTGTTCCTGGTTTTGTTTGTAGGAGGGTTTTGATTACTGATTTAATCTTCTTACTACTCATTGGTCTGTCCATATTTGTGTTTCTTCATGATTCAGTCTTGATAAACTGCGTGTTTCTAGACATTTATCCATTTCTTCTAGGTTATCCAATTTGTTGGCATATAATGTTCATAATAATGTCTTATGATTCTCTGTATTTATGTGGTATCACTTGTAATGTCTCCTCTTTCATTTCTGATTTTCTTTATTTGAATATTTTCTCTTTTTTGTTAGTCTGGCTAAATTTTTTTTATTTTTGTCATTTCATAAAACGAACTCATCTTTTTTTAGTTTCTTGATCTTTTCTATTGTTTTTCTAGTCTCTGTTTCATTTATTTTTGCCTCAATGTATTTTAAATTTCCCTTTCAATTTTTTATTTGTCTGTTTCAGGCTAATATATCTTCTGTGGCTGGTGAATGGAATGTTCCGCATATGTCTATTAGAGCCATTTTATCTAAAACATTGTTCAAATCCAATGTTTTCTTAGTAATTGTCTGTCTGGGTAATCTCTCTATTGTTAAAAGTGTGGTATGAAGTCCCTTACAATTATTATATTATAACCCATTTCTCCTTTCAGATCTATTAATATGTGCTTTATATGTAGGTACTTCAATGTTGGGTGCATATATATTTCCAATTACTGTTTTTTCTCTGTATGACTCCTTCATCATTATGTAATGACCTTCTTTTTCTTATTTTACAGTTTTCAACTTAAAGTTTATTTTACATAAGTATAGCTATCCTGGCTTTTTGTTTTCCATCATGAAATATTCTTTCCATCCCTTTACTTTTAGTCTATGTATGTCTTTAAAAGTGCTGTGAATCTTTTGTAGGGAGCATATAGTTGGGTCTTTTTTTGGTACATTCAACCACTCTGTGTATTTTTGTTTAGCAATTTAATTCATTTACATTCAAGATAGTTATTGATACGTAAGGACTTACTACTGCTATTTGGTTAGTTGGTTTTTGGTTGTTTTGTAGATGCTTTGTTCTTTTATTCACCTCTTGCTGTCTTTATGATTAGATGATTTTCTGTAGCGGTATGCTCCTATTTCTTTCTTTTTTATCTTTGTGTGTCTACTATAAGTTTTTGCTTTGTGGTTGTCATGAGGCTTACTAAAATATCTTACAGTTATAAGGGCTATTTTAAGTTGATAACTTTGATCACGTTTTAAAACCTCAAATTTTTTTTTTTTTTTTTGACATGGAGTCTCACTTTGTCACTTAGGCTGCAGTGCAGTGGTGTGATCCTGGCTCACTACAACCTCAGCCTCCCAGGTTCAAGCAATTCTACTGCCTCAGTCTCCTGAGTAGCTGGGATTACAGGCACCCATCACCACACCCAGCTAATTTTTGTATTTTTAGTAGAGATGAGGTTTCACCATGTTGGCCAGGCTGGTCTCGAACTCCTGACCCCGGGTGATCCACCCACCTCAGCCTCTCAAAGTGCTGAGATTACAGGTGTGAGCCACCACACCCAGCCAAAGCTCAAAATTTTTAATCCTCCTCCCCACATTTTATGTTTTACATGCCCCAATTCACATCTTTTTATATTGTGTATCCCTTAATAAATTATTATAGTTGTCATTATTTGAATAGTTGTGTCTTTTAACCTTCATGCCAAACATGCAATATATACCACATCACAGTATTACAGTGTTGTCAATTTGACGACTGTGTTTTTACTTTTACCAGCAAGTTTTTCACTTTCAGATTACTAATTAGTGTCCTTTTACTTTCAGCTCAAAGAACTTTTTTTAACATTTCCTGTAAGGAACTAACTCAGCTTTTTCTCACCTTCATTTCTGAAGGAAAGCTTTACCAGGTAAAGTATTCTTAGTTGAGGTTTTTTTTCCCTTTAATGGTTAGCAAAGAACATCCCACTCCCTCCTGGCCTGGAAGGTTTCTATTGAGAAAATTGCTACTATTCTTATTGGGATTCCTTTATATGTAATATATTTCATTTTTCTTGCTACTTTCAGAATCCTTTCTTTCTCTTTAATTTTTGACAGATTGATTACCATATATCTTGCTATAGTCTTGTTGGGGTTGAATCTGATTGGAAACTTTTGACCTTCCTGTACCTGGGTATTTATATCTTTCCTCATATTTTGGGAAATTTCAGCCATTATTTCTTTTTTTGAGACGGAGTTTCGCTCGTTACCCAGGCTGGAGTGCAATGGCGCGATCTCGGCTCACCGCAACCTCTGCCTCCTGGGTTCAGGCAATTCTCCTGCCTCAGCCTCCTGAGTAGCTGGGACTACAGGCACGCGCCACCATGCCCAGCTAATTTTTTGTATTTTTAGTAGAGACGGGGTTTCACCATGTTGACCAGGATGGTCTCGATCTCTTGACCTCGTGATCCATCTGCCTCGGCCTCCCAAAGTGCTGGGATTACAGGCTTGAGCCACCACGCCCGGCCCATTATTTCTTTAAATAAGCTTTCTATCCCTATTGATTTCTGTTTTTTTTCTCTACTTCTATAATTTGAATACTAGCTCCTTTGATGCTGTCCCATAAATCTTGTAGGCTTTCTTTATTTTTTTTACCAATTTTTAATCTCTTTTCTCCTCTGTGTGTTTTCAAATAACCTGTCTTTGCATTCAAAGATTCTTTCTTTAGCTTGATTAATTATGCTATTGGTGTTCTCTCTCTGTTTCATTTTTCATTTTATTCATTTTATTCTTCTGGTTTAGAATTTGTTTTTTATTATTATTTCAATATCTCTGTTAAATTTATCATTTGAGTAGGTCAATGTTTTTCTTATTTAATTGAATCGTTTCTCTGTATTTTTTCCCCCATTTATTTATTTTATTGCATTTTAGGTTTTGGGGTACATGTGAAGAACATGCAAAATTGTTGCATAGGAACACACGTGGCAGTGTGATTTGCTGCCTTCCTCCCCATCACCTACATCTGGCATTTCTCCCCCTGCTATCCCTCCCCAGCTCCCCACC